AACTATAGAGGAATTAATCTACTTCCCATCGCATATATGTGCTATCTAGCGTGGTGTGTGAACGATTGAAGCCAATGATCAATGACATTGTTGGACCATATCAAATGCCGCTTCAGATCTGTCAAATCCACCATAAACCAATTTTTCACCCTGTGCAATATCCTTGAAAAGACCCACGAATTACGCATCGACACTTTTCACGTATTCGTCGACTATAAAGTCGCCATCGACATCTCTATCCATTCAGAGATGTTTAAAGCCATGACTGCGTTCGACATTCCTGGAAAGTTAATACGGCTATGCAGGATAACTTTAACAAGGTCAGCAGTTAAAGTCGGAAAAGACCTCTTGGAGCCCTTCAATACCAAACGAGGCGTCCGACAAAGTGGCAGCCTTTGTCTGACCCCTGCTGGAAAAGGTCATACGAGAGATAAAGATGAACAGAAATGGACATATGTACACCAAAAAGCCTACGCTTATGACAACGATATAATGGGTCGAACATTGCGAGCCTTTAAACAAATTTAGAAGGATTCTTCCAAAGTGGGTCTGACCTAAATGGCTAGAAGTCCAAGCTTATGGTATCAACAAGCAAGTCTTCCAGTAGACTTGGACCAACTGTGGAACTTGAGAACTACAGCTTTGAGGTAGTCAAATATTTTATATACCTTGGTTTTGAAATTCGGAGAAGGATAGTGTTGGCAAACAGAGGCTAAACTCACACTCAAAAAGACGCTGATACTACTCGTGCTGGTATATGGATCAGAAGCATGGGTACATGCGCAAGCAGATGAGGCAGCTCCTGGAGTGCTGAGAAAAAAATTCTCCGAAGGATCTACGAGCTGATCACGCGAGGCTAAACTCACACTATAAAAGACGCTGATACTACTCGTGCTGGTATATGGATCAGAAGCATGGGTACATGCGCAAGCAGATGAGACAGATCCTGGAGTGTTGAGAAAAAAATTCTCCGAACGATCTGCGTCGATGGTGAATATCGGCGTAGAATGAACCACGAGCTGTTCCATACATATACTGTCGATGTCATATCAAAGCATTGTATTTCAAATTGGAAAAACTGCGCACAAGATCGACGCGCCTGGATTTTTTTAAGTTCGGCCTATGGAACAGTTATGTATGTTATTGTACATTTGTTGCGAGTAGGTTTTTATGTTCTGAGAAAATTAGATACCAAATTACAAATACAGATGATCATAGGTTAAGAACGTTAAAACACCAAAATTATGGCGGGAAAGTAAAAAAAAGTTGGACGGGGCTGACTATATGATACCCGTCCCCATTTGGGTGCAGTACCTTAATATGGGGTTTATGTCAAAACACGGGCCTATTTTAATATCTTCCTACATTTGTATATGTATGTCAGTCTCCAAAAATCAAAAATGGGCTGTACTGATAACGATATCTCTTGGTAGGAAGATTTGTTTTTTAGTTTACATTACAGTAACTTCATTGGGAAAATACGGCTAACACCTTCAAAATGCAGACAAATGAAATTAGATTCAATTAAAGTTGAGGCTAGCCGAACAACACTAATCATCTTGGGAGAACCTGCAATGAGACCCCCTTTCAGTTTCAAAATATTTCGGGTTTCTACACCAATTTAAGAATGTCCCTTTAAAATTTGAAATTGAAAGTGAAAGTCTTAATTAATTCTTTAAGATATAACCGATTTATTGCGTCGGCATCAAGCGTCGGAGACGACCAATTTTATTTTGTATGGCAATTTTACGGCACGAAAATTTTAATATGTATACAGTTTACTCTGTAGTATTTAAGAAATTATCTTGGGATTATCGTGAATATTTCCTAATTATCCCGCAGTTTAGTATTTCTGGTTCTCGGATTTTTTTTTTTTTTTTTTTTTTTGGAATATTAATGGAACCAGCGCCACATTTCAACTGAGCTGGTTGCAATTTCGCATATTGATTTACAGGAGTACAATTGACATTGGATACTTAGTTTGTTACACACACGTCAGATTATAGGTCTCCGCATCAATTATCAAATCTATGTGGCATTTCAGGTTCTCATTTTCGATATATAGAGATCAAACTCAATTTTAGGTATTTTCATAGAGTTCTTCGAAAATTTATAATAATATTTGATTCACTTGTTTAATATTTTTTTTTTATGTTTCAAAAACAATATAATAATTGAATCAATATAAAAATCCAACACTTAAAAATATACATTTTCATCCCCCTTTCATCTGTCAAGGCTTTCTTCATTCAAACAGCGGATGGATGGCTGTTTTATTTTCGTCGAATGGATGCATTTTCCAACAATTCTTGTGTGCGGCCGCCACTGTCAACACAAATTAACGTAATGTCATGTCAACAGTGTCACGATTGTCATGGAAACCACAAACGCTTGACGTATGTGTAACATTGTCTCCATTTTTTGGGGTTTCATTCTGTTTGATGTAAAGAAATTGATATGTTGACGATGAAAATGATGATGATCGTAAATTTATTTAATTTGAGTTGTTCGAAAAAAAGAAACTAAGATAGGATTTAATGTTAAGAGAATATAGGCATAAAAACCTACTCAACTATCCTCAAACTTTCATTTTTTAATGATTTAAATGTTATAAAATAAATGTTCGAACATATATGGCTATATGGCTGATAAATACATAGGGAGAAATCTTGATATAAAAACAGATGATGTAGATCTCACATATAGTCTCGTCCGATATTCACGAAATTTTGTATATGGTACTAAATTAAGAAAGGTGTATGCCGACATTGATTTAAATCGGTCCTGATATAATTTCGTCCGATTTCATGTAAAATATGTTTGATAAAATTAATATGTGTAATAGAACATGTCAATCATTATTTAAATCGACATATAATAATTTATTATGTATCTCGATAAGATTCTTAGAATAACTCGTATTCATATCCAAAGCGGTGCACAACTGTCCGTCTTTGGTGCTCTCCTTACACTACGTTTTCTAAGACTGCGTTTTTAATTTTGGATATACACTGTACAGTCGGAATAACTATTGTTTGAAAAGTCAGACAAAAAATCGATTTTATCTCCCAAAGATATTAAGCAGAATAGTCAAGCAGAACCCTCAAGTGTACTCCAAAAATGTGTCCCCATCGACATATTGGTTTATATGTTCCAGGCAATTTAGGATCGATTTTAAAACGTCCGTCCATCCCACCAAAAACTTTATTTTTGTCTGTTTTTTAGTATGACACATCGCCATATTTTATATAGAGGATGGGGTATAGCCCAGGAATAAGCATGACTCTTTTCAGGAGAATCGGTTAATATTTGACAAACATTATATTCCATGGAGTATATATTTATTCATGAAGGTCATAGAAGGTTGATAGTATATGTAAGAGGCGTGGTTGACCTTTAAGTTGATACCAATTATGTTGTTGTATGTAACCGGATGTGGGAGTTATATTAAACTATTTACAGGAGTCTACAAATTCTGATATTATTTAGAATTTCGATACCACACAAGAGGGAGGAAATGTTGCACTGATGGTTAGGAAATTTTTTATTTAAGTTCCGGTTATCGGATGATATTTTATTTAAGGATGAAATGTACAGAATACTTAATTTTATGTTAGTTTTTCAAATCGCACATCACAACACACGGGGAAGGGAATCTGGCAATAATTAGAAAGACTGTTTTGATATGATCGGTCGATATTCATGTTGTCAAACCACTATGTAAAATGTATATTATGGTGTCAATGTTCACCCCCAGGAAATCAATGTTCAGTAAAGATGTTGAGCTGTTGACTTATCCAGGCTCGGAATATACATCCGCAGAAACCACGAAATCTGTGGTAGTTGTCTATATATACTGCTCTGCTCACTGGTTTTAAAATATAATGCGAACGAAGTATCCGATTTGAAATAAACTTTGCAAAATCGTATATTTTATTCAATCCTGATGATGTATGATGATGGGGCATAATGGTCCACTTTTTTGAGTACCTTTTTGTAAATTTCAAATATAGCGAAAGATATATCGACTTTCACCCCAATATGCTTATCATAATAAATTTTTGTCCAAACTTTGCTGGTTGTAATAAGTTTACCATACTTGGATCAAGTCAAAATATCAAGATTCGAAAATTCGACACTCCATTAAAATCTAGTGGGGTATCGAAGGCTCCCTAGCCCCAGCTTTCACCAATTTTCTATAGAAATTTTGAAGGTCCCTTAGTTCTGGAATTTTTATTGAAAAGCTCTAGCTTTCTCTAGACATCTTCTTAAATTTTTATAGACCATTTGAAGATTCCCTTGGTCTCCCTAGAAACCTTCTGCAATTTTCATAGAAAACTTGAACGCTCCCTAGCCTTCTAGAATTTTTTATAGAAAAAGAAGGCTCCCTAACCTTCCACAATTTTCTATAAAAAAATTGAAGATTCCCTAGCCTTCTAGAATTTTTTTTTATAGAAAATTTGAAGGCTCCAATTTTCTAACAATTTTATAGAAAATGTTATGGCCTTTTTTTCCACAATTTTCTATAAAAAAAATTGAAGATTCTCTAGCCTTCATGAATTCTCTATAGAAAATTTGAAGACTCCCTAGCCTTCTACAATTTTCTATGGAAAATTTGAAGACTCCCTAGCCTTCGGCAATTTTGTATAAACAATTTGAAGGCCCCCTAGCCTTCGTGAATTTTCTATACAATATATAATAAATAGCCTTAGCAATGTACATTTGCAATGCAATAAAACCTCACACCATATACACATCCATTTGCACTTGCATAACCCAATTTTCTAAATGGAATTATTAAAGTGAATTTCTATTCTCATCTTAATTTCAGGTCACAATAATTACAATTTTAGCTTTCAATGTCGGAATTTGTCATTACAATTTCGTAGTGCAGCATTTTCGCCGGCGATGCATTACAAATTCTAAAACCAAAATAGTGTAATTGTATTTCGCAAATCCGCACGCATTAGATGTTAGTAAAAATGCATAACAAAACCTACCTAAATTATCCCCAGGTGGCGGTGAAATGAGGGACAATTGTTGGTGTTGCTGCTGGTGCTGTTGCAATTCAAGGTGGAGTTGTTGATGATGCATTTGCAGTTTATTTGTAATGAGATTGTGATGGTGACAGTCCTGAGCGGCGGCCATATCCAGTAAATTGTTCACGGAAAAACGTTTTACATTATCGGTGCCCTTATCGAAGAGGAATGGGGAACAGATCGCTGCTGCCGTCGGCGATGTTGTGGTCAATGTCAGCGAATTTGAAAGTTTGGCTGATAATGAGGCTGAAGGCGATGGCAATGGTTTGTTGATGCTGCTGCTATTGCTGCCACATAATTGTGGATGAAACATTGATGTTGTTGCCGTCGCCGCAGCCGATACTGGTGACGACAGGGAAGAAGAAGATGTTGTTGTGGTGGGTGTTGTGGAGTTAAGGCTGGCAGCAGCCGTCGCCATTGCCAAACCTGTTGAAATCTGCGATGTGTTAACATAATTGTTATTGTTGTGTAAATGTTGCAAGGATGTTGAAGTTGATAAGGAACAGGTGGCAGCCAATGGCGATGAGGTTGATGAAGTTTGATGTGATTGCTGTTGTTGTTGATGTTCTAGTTGTCGTTGTTGCAATCCTGTTGAAGAATAAAAATGTTGATTTCCACCAGCGCTGTTGTGCAACGTTGAGGCAGAAGAAGTTGTGGCCGCCGTTGCCGCACCATTATCACCAGGCATTGTGGCCATAATTGCGGACATTTGATGCTGTTGATAATTAAGCATTGTTGTTGTAGTTTTTCTTGCCACCAACTTAATTGCCTTATGCTATTAAAATAAATCAATCTTGTAGCAACGATCCGCTAATCAACAAATTAGTATTCGGTTACTTTCACAGGCACAAATAACTTAATTATGTATCAATTAATTAAGAAAATTGTCAACTGGCGATGTTGTACGTTGCTATCGGAAATGACACACACATACACCGTACACCTTTTTGGCGGCCGTCGTTGTTTTTTTTTATTTCGCCACAATTTTATTTTCACACTTTTGTTTTAATTTGCTAAGGTTAATCAGAGAGGGTTACTATATCTCGATTTTGTTGTTGTTTGTGGTCAGTAATTTAATTTACAGTCGATATTTGAAAATTGATTTCCTTTCGTTTCTTTTTTCATTAACAAAAAACACAAAGACCTTTAACCGTTCTTTTATCGATTCGATTCGCAACCGTGTCGTTTATTTCTGTGTATTTCTTCTTATTGGTGATTTCTCTAACTAATTCAATTAGCAATTAGCAAAATACACAATTAAGTTAATTAAGTTAATTGCTGTCGCAATACTAAACTATACTAAAGTCAACTGACTACTGAAATTATTTTCAAAAACAAAAGCCAAAAAAAAAACTGAACACGAATGAAAAAGAAAAATTCACTTTTCATAGATCATGCTCTCTCTTTTTTGTTTCATTGAAAATATACAATTTGTTGCGGGAAAGCAGCATTCTAAATATACATCCACAGGCAGCACCCTCCCAATTAGAATGACTTGCTTGCTTGTATGCTGGATACCATTATCGCAGCATCATCCCCCTTTTCGTTGGATCTCTTTCAGCACAGTCTTTGGTGATCGTCACACATCTTATGATGCCATCTCTTTTACTCATTCTTATCTGTGTTTTAAGGAATTGCCATTGGTTGATGATCTTAAAGAAATTTAGTTGTGTTGCTGCTTTTCTAAAGAAATGGGAGGGGTATATTTTTTGAATAGACCTCATATAAAATCCAAAAATATTTTTGAATATTTCTAGTTGACATCGTGTTTTAAAGACCAATAACATAGATCGGATACTAAAATTTTAAATCGGAAAATATTTGGGGTTGAAATGGAAATACAAATAAAAGAATCTGTTTACCATTATTCAATCTTATTTGAATTATTATGGAAAACTTATACTCCTACAAAAGGAAATTATAAATTGAAAATCTCAGCTTGGCAAATTTCATATAGCCTTACGACTAACTAGGATGTATACACTATGACATTACATAAATACACCTCTTCGAAATATTTGTTTTAAGACAACAGTTCAAATATAAAAACCGTCACGAATACATTTTAGATTACCTTCCGTTCCGGTTACAACAGAGAACCCCATAAATAATATTTACGATTTGGTCTCGTATTCTTAATAAGAATAAAACTTTTATTGAGGTTTTTGTTGGAAAATGTTCACCCTGACTTTGCAGTTTCCAAGGTAGAACTGGATATTTCACTCAAGACCCAAAATTAATTATGAGTGAGTTACGTCGCGTCAGTGACCAAGAAAAATCCTTCTCAAATAAAGGATATGCCATATTTTGAAATTTTGAAAGTCCAATAATCATTCTTGGTATCTCTTATTCATGTAAAGAATATTAAAAGTTTAAAATATTCACACAATTCACAGAGTTTTCCCATTATTAGTAGTGATGTCTAACGTCATGTATATTTGAAGTCGCGTGAGTGACCGCTCTTTTGTGGCTTTTATCTCTAAAGTTAGAAACTAGAGGGTCTCAATGTTTTTACCACTGATAGTACTCCTAATGTTCTACAAAAAAATATTAAGGGAGATTTGTAAAAAATATTATTGTTTTCGATTTATTTAAGATTTAAAATTTGATTTTGCCTCTGAAAGTCGTGTAAGTGACTGCGGATGTGCCCATGTACGAGCTATTTCCGAGGTTTTTAAACTCTTCACCACACTGTGGTACAGGGTATTATGTCTTTGTGCATATGTTTGTAACAGGCAAAATGAAATAAGAATATGCATAGAATCACTTTCTAAGTCGATTTATGCATGTCCGTCCGTCCGTCTGTCTGTCCATGTTAAATTGTAAACAAAGTACAGGTCGCATTTATGATCCGAATAGGCCCAAGGACGAACCCTATTGAATTTGGAAAAAAATCGGTTCAGATTTAGATATAGCTCCCATATATATATATATATATATATATTTAACCGATTTAATGTAAACGGTCCCTGTATTTCTTTCGATTTGCACGAAATTTGGTACAGCCTAATCATTTAGGTCTAGAATGATATCTGCCAAGTTTCGTGAAAATCGGTTCAGATTTAGATATAGCTCCCATATATAGTTTCGTTCGATTTCATGTAAATGGTGCACCAAAGTTCCAATATATCCTTCGATTTGCACGACATTTGGCATAATGTACGTAATTGAGCCTAGAATGATGTCTGCCAAGTTTCATGAAAATCGGTCCTGATTTAGATATAGCTCCCATATATAGTTTCGTCCGATTTCATGGAAATGGTGCCCCAAAGTCCCTATATATCTTTCGATTTGCACGAAATTTGGCCTAATGTACTGAATTGAGCCTAGAATGATGTCTGCCAAGTTTCGAGAAAATCGGTCCAGATTTAGATATAGCTCCCATATATAGTTTCGTCCAATTTAATGTAAATGGTGCACCTAAGTCGCTATATATCTCTCGATTTGCACGAAATTTGGCATAACGTACTGAACTGAGCCTATTGTGATGTCTGCCTTGTTTCGAGAAAATCGGTCCCGATTTAGATATAGCTCCCATATATAGTTTCGTCCGATTTCATGTAAATGGTGCACCAAAGTTCCAATATATCCTTCGATTTGCACGACATTTGGCATAATGTACGTAATTGAGCCTAGAATGATGTCTGCCAAGTTTCATTTAGATATAGCTCCCATATATAGTTTCGTCCGATTTCATGAAATTGGTGCCCCAAAGTCCCTATATATCTTTCGATTTGCACGAAATTTGGCATAATGTACTGAATTTAGCCTAGAATGAGTTCTGCCAAGTTTCGAGAAAATCGGTCCAGATTTAGATATAGCTCCCATATATAGTTTCGTCCGATTTCATGTAAATGGTGCCCCAAACTCCCTATATATCTTTCGAATGGCACGAAATTTGGCATAACGTACTGAATTGAGCCTGGAGTGATGTCTGCCAAGTTTTGAGAAAATCGATTCAGATTTAGATATAGCTCCCATATATAGTTTCGTCCGATTTCATGTAAATGGTGCACCAAAGTCCCTATATATCCTTCAATTTGCACGAAATTTGGAATAACGTACTGAATCGAGCGCAGAGTGATGTCGGTCAAGTTTCGTGAAAATCGGTCAAGGTTTAGATATATATTTTCATCCGATTTAATGTAAATTTAGTCTAGAATGATGGGAGCCAAGTTTCGTGAAATTTGGTTGAGATTTAGATATAGCTCTCTTTTATTATAGATTGATTTTAAGTAATTGACGCATCAAGGAACAAATAGGCTGGTAGGAACAAAACGTACTAAAATTAGTAAAACCTAACCTGTGACAAGTTTCGTTGAAATCGCTTCATATTTGGATATAGCTTCCATATATATTTTCGCCCGATTTTAAGTAAATTGGGCATCAAACTCCTCATGTTAGTTAGATTGACATCAAATTTGGCACAACGTACAAAATTGAGCATAGAATTGTTGCGTTTTCTAGAAGTACAGGCGTAGTCCAACGGATGACCTATTTATATTTGTTTGAAGTCGATTTACATACTTTTGTCCCATTGTAACAAACGAATGATATGTTTATGGATAGATCTAGGTACATTCACATTCATATAAATATCATCAGCTGTTTAATATACCCATAGTGGTGAAGGGTATCATATAGTCGGCCCCGTCCGACTTTACTACTTTCCTTACTGGTTTTAATTGTTTTGCAAAATTTTATAAAGTTTTTGATACTTAATAAATTACAAAAAAATTATTTTGCTGTTTATACCCAACAACTATATATATTGTGAGGCCCAAATAGTTTGTAACTCCTCCTACACCCTCCTTTTAGTACACCAATCGCTATATCTCGACTAGCTGAGTCGATCTAGAAATGTGAGTTCATCCATCCGCTTGCCCATTATAATTTGTGAACAGGATGCAGGCGACAGTTATGGGCCAATCGTAGAACCGGTTCTGCCCAAAGAATTGTGGCTCTAGAGGCCACAATTATAACACGAACATCACGAAATTTTACACAGAGAAAGGGGTATGACCATGGAATAAGTATGACTGTTTTCATGAAGATATATCAAATAGACCCAGAAAGTTATGAAAAATTACAAAATTTCTATGGCATATATATTTACTGATGAAGGACATAAACCGGAGAAGTTAATAGTATAGCCAAGAGGAGGATATTGTTATACATACTCGGATGTGAGAATTATGCTAAGATATTTGCAGCTGTAGGGGAGACTGGGGCACCTTCGGCATCGGGGCACCTTCGGCAATCGCGTTTTCGATATGAAGCTCTCACCGTACATCACTAGTTTCGATACATTGGTGTCGAATATCGAAATAAAGAACTGACACAAAGTTTGAAATTTCTAGCTAATAAGCTTATTTAGCTACATAGGTTTTTGTATTTTTATAGATGTTTCTGTAATATTTCAATCCCATTTCGTAAGTATTTCGTGTATAAAACTTTTAAAATTTTTAAGACAATATTATTAAAAAGTGGTTAACTACGATGTGTATTAGTATAAAAATGTTTAAAAATATAATGTTTTAGAAATCTGATCGAAAAAAAAATGAAAAAAACTATAAAATTACATTCGGGGTACATTCGGCATTTTAAAGTGGGGCACATTCGGCCATATACAGATTGTGCAATATTATTTCCTTAAAATGTTTTTGAGTTTGTCTTTAAAACTAATCCTTTAATATGGTTCGAAATTGCACATATAAGATCAAACGTGCTTTT